AATACAAATGATCTCATCTATTTAATTGTATCCTGAATTAATCAATTGAAAGAACACTCTTCTTTTTACATTATCAGTACTATTTTAAGATATCTTGATAATCAAAAAGTGTGTTTAGTTCATACCATTTCTAAATGTTAAAGTGAACCACTCATTTAAATCAACTGTGAAACAGTATCAATGATTTTTAAACCTCATTAGATTTTTGATCATACAGTTAAATGTCTATTTACGAAGTAAGTGTACATTTAGTCTTCTGTCTGAATGAGGGTAGTGGACCTGATGTTGGTCGAAAGTCAGAGACAAACAGAGACAAGTTATTAGAACGAAGTGTCTTTTTAAAAAAAAAAAAAAAAAAAAGGAACAAAGTGTCTTGTTTTTAAAACTCTCAGACAGTAAATAAGAGCTGTTGGCACCTGCTTTGTCTCACCTCTTCATAAACATTTCTCCATCTGTACTAACCGTTCTTAAACATTCCTGCTGTCTCCTGACTTCTAGTGACCCTCTAACATCACTAGAACCACACCCCTGCTGGGTGTTTCAACCAATCAGGAAGTACCATGTAACAGGAAGTGGATACCCCATTTAAAAGGCAACACTTCTTGGAACTAGTCAGTCTTGGGGCTAAGTTTTCAGTCTTCAGTCTTCCAAGTCTTTTCCAGTCTTGCTGGAACTTTCAGTCAGAGATGAGACTCAACTAAGTAGCGGATGGATTGGACCATGTGCCAAGGGTCCCTCCATTTCAGCGGAGTCACAGCTCGCATCGCTGTGCACTCAACCCGAGCAGTACATGCTCTCAACTTCGAAGGAAGCTTATTCTGTTGATCGGAGCATATGGAACTACTTCTAAAGATTCTCAGCCACCCTGACCGGAGACGCTGAAAAGGTAGCGTGCCAATGGACCTCTGTTCCGGAGTTGAAGTATCCTCTGCTCAGGTAACAAGCCGTTGATGCCCTGAGTATACCGGAGGGCTGAGCTGGATTCGGAGGAAGGGTGCCATTTTCTGGTTCAACACATCTTCCCTCATCCATCTAAACCTCCTCTTTAAATCTTTAAACTTCTATTCTCCTTCTCTTTAAACTTCTATTCGCCAGTAAATCAAGCTAGATGCCTTCAGAGATGAATCAGTCTCAATCAGTAATCTTCTGTTGTCTTGTTTAGTAAATCGTGCCAAGTTTATTCATCAGAAACAGATCAGCAAATCAATGTGTACATATTTGATGTTAAATTTTGATTCTGTTAAATAAATGACCGCATTTATTCTGATGGGTCAAAGATAAAATGGCGTCTCATGTCACTGATTAAACAATCCACTCACAGTTATCTGGGTCACAGAACAGAAATTTAACTAGAAAAAGAAAATAATCCGTTGTAATTAAACAATTAATATTCTTTGTGCTTGAACTAGCTTTAAGAATAATTAATTAGTAGTGAAGTTAACCTTACATCCCTACAGTTTGCTCAAAATTATAGCAAAGGTGTGTCTCAGTTGAACTTTTCCTTAATAAATGCACTTTGAAGGTCAAAGCAGCTGTATTTCAAAACCCGACTTGCGGAAGCGGAAACGTGCAGAGGGACGACTCGCTGTGCATTTCTTTGAAATTTAGCAAGATAACCACCTAAAAACAATTTTCGCTTGTTTTTTGTTTGCTCAAATAATTTTTTGTTTGCTCGAAATTATAACAAAGGTGTGTCTCAGTTGAACTTTTCCTTAATAAAAGGGCTTTAACGGTCAAATCAGCTGCGTTTCAAAAGTATTCGCTGCCTCGGTGCTCCGGGAGCATGCAGAGGGAGGAAATCAGGAAGGAGGAACGCTGTGTATTTCTTTGAAATTTAACAAGATAAGCACCTAAAATAATTGTTTGCTCGACATTATAATAAAGGTGTGTCTCAGTTGAACTTTTACTTAATAAATGCACTTCAATGATCAAATTAGCTTCATTTCGCTGGGGCGGTGCAGCAAAATGAAGCTGATTTGATGGTTGCTTCAGGCAAATGTGGTCTGTCTGTAGCAAGCCAATTGTGTCATTAATAGCCACTTTTACATATTGCATGACACAACAGCATGCCATACAATTTGAGAGCCATCTAGCAGCTGGAAATGGTAGTGTTCAATATTTTCAATGTCAGAATGAATGAAAACGGTCATAGCTCAGTCAAAAATTGGTTTATAAATATGGGGAAAAAAACATAAATAAGTCACTTCGGCATATAAGTCGCAGAGTATTCAAATTAGGCTAAAGTTGTGACTTATAGGCCAGAAACTACGGTAAGTCTGATTGGGCTGCACCGAAACCATCCACCACCCTGCTGCTCTGCAGAAAGCAGCCATCGCAGCTCGTCTAAACACCGAATGGTCTCTGATGGACAGGTGCTCCCCGCCTGCTGAGACATTTGACGTCAGAGGTCACGGCAGTACCACGGTTGATGCTGCAGGGACCTCCAACACAAAGTCCCTCCTGAAGTGGAATGCATGTGATGTTCAGTCTGCCTGCTCAGTAGGAGTGCTTCTAGTCGTTATGTGAGGTCAGGCTGGAACAGCTGGGGGGAGGGACAAACAAGCTGCTGAGTACTCTCACTCTAAATGTGCATTTCAGCCATTGATGGACAGAGAATAGTCTTTAATGTTCGGACAGGCATTCAGACAGTCCTGAGTGCTTTCTCTCAGCTCACTGAGAGGACATGGCCTAAATGAGAATGATTTGCTGCTACGCTCTGTCTCGACCAAGAGGAACAGGGGTCAGACCGAGGCTAGGAGAGTCCATCTCCTCTGTGACGAGACGAGAAATGTTTCTTCACCCGTTCTTCCACATGAGAGTCAATGATAGATGAGCTGACGCCATCAAAAACATCTTACATGGTTTTAGCACTCAAAAGAAGTGCTGGAGATGACTCACAGCTATCATCACAAAAGATTTCAGCTCAATATCTGTAAAGCTGATAGATTCATAGCCGTGTTTGTGTTCACTAGCTTGCTGTGCAGCCATCTTGAAACCAAAAGTTTGTCAGTTGTTGATGACCATCCAATAATTACTTTGAGAATTTCTTGAAAATCTGGTGGTTCGTGACTTATGTTGCACGCACTGGTTGTTTTGTGACAACTAAAGGTACGACTAAAAAGCAAAATCTGCTTTTCTTCCAACGCGGATTATATCCTCTTAACATGTGACATAAATGAACCAAATCTTCTTTTTGAGTGTGTTTTCAGCAGTATTAAACCCCCTAACTCACAAGCAGAGTACAGTAGTCCCTCGCTACTTTGCGGTTTGCTTTTCGCGGACGCTCTATCGCAGACGCTCTATCGCGGATTTTCAAAATAAAATTGGACATCAATCAACCTTTATTTATACAGGTAAATCCCATGACATGACATGACAGGACATGACACACAGTTGGCTGATTGACAGAGGAGGCGCACGATCAGCATGACATTTTTATTTAAACTGAATTATTTAAAATTATTTAGCACCTATTGCACCTGTGTGCAGCTCACGGCTGCAGGAGAAGCTTCCTCCTGCAGCTGATCTCAGCTCTGCAGCGGAGAAGTGGGCGTGACCGAGAGCGCTGGCAGATGGCAGGGAGCAGATTTCATGGCATGCTGTGCTCTTTTAGAGCGTTTAGTGATTAGAAACATTGTTTAGAATATTGCAAGCGTGTAGAAAGGGTTTTAAACAGGTTTTTTCCAACCTTTATTTAAACAGCTTAATCCCATTGAGTCATGAGGACTCATTTACAAGAGAGACCTGAATTTTAACAGAGTGATGACAACAATAAACATTCACAAATGATGCATACAATTTTTTTTTTAACAATTGAAAACAAAATGATAATTAAAAGGAATATTTAAAAGGAAATGTAACGAAAAAACTGTGATTACGAGGGGGTGTAGAATACTAAAAACAGGAACATGTCTGCATATATGCATATATGTATGTATATAATATATA